AAGTTAGGTATAGGGCTTGTATATATAGACAGCACCATTCAAATTAAGAGGTTGCACAAGACTAGTTGACATGACTGTTTTGCTGGGGCAGGAGTTATTATAAGTTTATGACTACGCCTTCAAACAAGAGAAGATACAAGAAGCTCAATTCTAAAAAAAATTGATCATGAAGACAAATTAAATCTAAAGGGATATTGGAATATGATGCAGAATCTGAAATGGTTATGATGTGTTTCAATTCATTCAAGGCTGTTTTTGACATGATAAACCACCTCAACTAACAACAGGAGTTTAAAGCTTGAACTTATCAATGCGAGCACAACATCTCAAAATGAATGAATTGTACTAAGCAAGATGTGTTTTAAAGGTGTTAGCATCACAAGTAAAGGAAGTGATAAAACACTGGTGCGCATCTGTGCGCAAGGGTTAGTTTTCTCTTCCCAACGATGAAGCGTGAGGGAGCAATATAGATTATCCAAACATGTTATCATTTTGCTTTCCTAGAGCTAGTTTTAACATGCACACTAAATTTTAGATACACAACAATTTAGAGAAAAATAAAGATAAGGCTATTTCAGAGATAAGGGAACAAACCCCAGTAGGCAAAGGCACCATGATCGCTTTCCTTTTGGAACTTGTATTCACCCATTCATATCGTGTCACCCCTAATCCACGCTCTCTCAGCCTCTCCCTCCTTAACCTTTCCTCTGGAGATATATTACTCTCATCGAGCCCACCATCAAGGGGACTGAATAACAATTCTTGTTTAGCTGTCTTCAGATCAAAAGAAAAAACCTTCCTATTCAATGTGTGATCAGGACTAAATAAATATGCAATTAAATCATCATCAGGGCTGAAACTTATTGAAGACGGCGTGACATATCCTGGCAGTGGGTATTGTACAATCTCTTCAACAGGGAAAAGGCTGTTGTCATCAAATTTTTGTGCATCGTTAAAGTCTGTCACAGGCATATTGAAAGGCAGAGATCTTGAACGCTTCAGATTTCTCTTGTTCACATCAACTGATTGCATTACGGATATGCCACCATGAATGAGATTGAACTGCAACAAAGGAAGCAAAATGAGAGCAGTGCCCAGAGAAAATAACCATCGATAACCTTCACTGAAGAGGGGTAACAACTAACAAATAACACTTCCGTCTAAGTTTCATTGCATTAAAAATCATTGCAAATGAATTGAAGGATTTCTCGGCAGTCAATTATGGATATGAATTTATTTACTATTGAGCCTGACTGTGTTTGAAAGCTAAAACAGAAATATTAGAAAAACTTTCTTTCCTTTTCTTTTCATAATCTGCAGGACAAGGCATAAATATATTATAGATTGTATCTATGCTCTACAAAATGACTCCGGAATCTTATCCGCTCTTCAACCTAACTCCTCATTCAAGGGGAAAAGGAAAAGACATCAAAGAAAAGAAAACCAGTGCAGCAGCACGAAAAGGAAAATTCTAAGACGCCGAACTCTCCGAAAAAAAGGAAGCCAAGAGGGGGAAAAAATTTATCGAATTAATTGTTATCGGCTTCATCTATCCAGAAGACTCAAATTTACAAAACCTATCTAACCATCTTGCAGTATCCTCTTCCCACACTTTTTTTTTTTTGGCCAGACATACCAATAACCCATTCGACCATTTTCTCTCAAAGAAACCGGAGAAGCCCGATTGAAGTCCAGAACAGATCCGGAAAGACCAAGTTTGAGCGGAAGCAGAACCATTTTAAAATGAAAATGGGAAAGCTTACCTGACATTTGTTACTCTTTCAGAAAAATATGAAAAAAAAAAAAAGGGTTCACTATCAGAACTGTCAACTTCTCGTGTTAACGCACTGGATCCGATCGCAGACAATGAAACCAACAGGAAATAATGTGAAAGGCAACTAGTTTTGAATTGATTTAAATTCACTAAAACTGAATCAGTTTCATTAACAAGGATGAAAAATCAGATTCTAACCTGAGGAGAAGACGGAAAGGATCTGCCATGGAAACAAAGGAATGTTGATAGGATTTTTTTCACCAGATTTCTTAGGGTACTAAAAGAAAAGTTCGACAGAGAATCAGAAATGTATAGGAAGTCGATTTCCCGCGAGAAAGACAGGCCAAGGCGGGGAGAGAGAGAGAGAGGGGCAGATAGCAACAGAGGTGTTTGCCGGTGGCGTGCTTCGATAGATTGGGAATCATATTGAGAAGGGACTTGAGACTTTGTTCTATTTAAAATTTTTTCAAGTGCCATAAATGTTAAGATATTATCCAAATTATAAAAACGTTACCCCGACATGAAAAATCGAGGGCCTATTTGTCTTTTATGCGCCAAAACATTGCATAAAAGACTGTACACTATATAAGACGCCACCTCCGGTATCGCCGAACGCCGATTCTACCGATGACTTGCCTGCCAGTCGCCTCGGATCGAAGCCAAGTATGAAAAAACAAATGGAATTCAAATACGGATAAATATTGAGAAAAACTAACTCACGCACTTTCATTTTATTTCTTTTTTATTGCAATCTTTGATCATAATATACCAAATACTTCAGATATGGGGTATCTCATTTTTAATAATGATACGAAATACAAATACCAGTATATATATATATATATTATTACCATTATCGTTCTTATTCTTATTATAATAAAGCCCTATTTTTTTGTATTTCAGATGAAATTTCAATTAGAATAACGCAGTGAATAACTGTTTATAAATTTAACTCAATATTTAAATCATGCACAATGCCCTTAATTGTTTTTTTTAAGTATAGTTCGTGTTCAATTGATTTGAAAAAATATTATGTGAATTAGGTACATGAATTAAGATATGCTTCTAAACTTAAAGAATAGTTATAAAAATGTTTACAGACAATGTTATATGAAGAAGTTCTGAACCCTGAGACAGGATTATTTAAGAAATTTAATGTATTATCATTCATCTGTTTTCATATTATTTTTTTAATTTATTAAAATCAAATTCAAATTTTTTATTTAACATTTTTGCCACTTCAAATCCTATAAAAAAATTAAAACAAGTACAATTTCAAATAAAAGGTAAGAGAATAACAAACCCACGATATGACCGAAACTTGAGATCATAGCTGATATTTTTTTCCTTTTAAGCAAAACTCTCATTCATAAATAAAAACATATAATTAATATTAATATTTAATGAAAAAAATAAAGACCGATCATATAAAATATAAGTAAATATTTTTGGAGACCAAAGGCAATGCAGTTTACAAGACCTTGTAACTGTAAATTATTTGTTAACAAGGTTCTCAAATTAACAATGAGATTTGATCCTATATATTTATAAGTGATGGGTTAAATCTTTGTCAAATGAACAATTTTTTATTGGTATTATAATTTATATTTAATTTGATGTTTAATAACACAGCCATGTCACTTTTTTTATTCTAGAATATCTTTCGTGTGACTATAAAATATCAATTACTTTTTTTTCCACCTCTGAAAGATAAGTTACTTTATAGTAAGTATTTCATGATAGTTCCTAAATCGATTTATGACGGAATCTAACAACATTTAATTAATAACCAGCGAACCATTCTAGGCTTCTAGCACCGAGTGGCTGATTTAGTATATGATTTTTGAATTTTTGCTTCTTTAAAAAATATACCAAGAGAAAAAAAAATATCTCAGTTATTAATACAAATTATCTAGCACCCCTCAAAAAAAAAATATAATAAAAAATACATTCTAGTTCAATGAAACATGTAAATAAATACAATATCTTATAAAATTTCATGATTCTTTTTAAGTTCTTATGACCTTTTTGATATTGATAACTTTTTGTAAAATTTTTAAAATAACCCCAGATTTAGATAAAATAAAAAATATTAATGACTATTTTAATTTAAAAAATGATTATTTTTCATTTAATAATGACTAGAACGGAACAATCAATTATAATTTTTTCCATTTAAATTTTTGATTCACTGAAATACAAGTGTTATAAATTTTCATAACTATCTTATTTTTAGCAGTGACTATTATTTTTTAGTAATAATTAAAATGAAATAAGCAATTACAACTTTTTTTATGTAATTTCCTTCTTCTATGCTGGCAATGACTACAATTTGCACAAAGGAGGTTACAATTGTTTGTTCTATATTGATTATTGTCAAAAAAAATAATTATTACTTAAATTAAAATAATCATTAATATTTATTTTTAACATAAAATGTATTTTTATTCCTGCACTTTCATTTATAAAGAGCTGGGTATTATATATTGATAAATGGGATATATTTTTTAAATGAACAAAAGTCTCCTTTGTTAGTAACATGTTAACAGATAAAATTTTTACTTCTTAAGAAAAGAATTTAAAAAATATTTTGTTTATTAATATAGAATGTTTAATATTTTTTAAAAAGAAAATATAAAGACAAAAATACATGAGATTCATTATATAAAGCTGAATATCGAAATAGAGTATTTGTTTTGTGATTGCCCACAACTGACAACTCTGACATAAGGCTAAAGATCTGCGCGTGGCTCTAATTCCCTTGGCCATCCGGTGAAAGAACTGGTCATTTAATTATTAAATAAACTGACATGAAAAAATATTCAATAAATTAAATAATTAAATATTGAGTAATTTCTTAGATTAAAAATAAAAAATAATGGATGCATAAAATTCGGCTCCTTTAAGAGGCCGCGCGTGGAAAATTGGAAAGCATCTGTCTATTACGATATGACCCGACCTCCGTTTACCACTGGTGTCAATGGAATCAATTTCGGACAATGAGCGCTAATTGTCGCTGGATCATCCTATTTAATTTGAATAATCTACAATTACAGTTTTTTCCTTTTACTTTTTTAAAAATTTATTTTAATAAATACAAAATCTAAAATAAAGTCCATCTCTCCAATGTCAATTTTTATAAAAAATATTTTTATTTAAAAAATATCAATTAAAAAGTTTAAAATTTGGATTATTTTAAATTAAATTTAAAGAGTCAGAGGCAATGGGCTCTTAATGTTCACCTACATAATGAACACTAAAAAGTAAAACTAAACCCGGTGACCAATGCCAGGTAGCCATGTAACACGCACTTCGGCTTCGCAGGTTGTCTGCTGAAAATTGGAGATAACCCTTCCACTGGCGGAATTTGGATAATATTCAACGGCTGACTAAAAAAAGAACAAGAAAAAAAACAAATTTACTTGTTCAATAAATATTTTATATACTACCTCCATTTAAAAAATATAAAATATTTTTAATCTAAGTCTTAATTTCTAATAAAAAATTACTTATCTTTAAATTTAACATATTTATATATTTACTCATATTTAATGAGACATTTTGCTTTAAAATAAATACAAAATAATTTATTTATCATTGACACTTTTAGAAAAACACATAAATTATACCTTGAAACATTTAAAAATGTTTTGTATTTTTACACATTCAATCCTTCAAAAGATGCATAATATTTTTTAATGAAAGTAGTATAATATAATAATTATTTTTTAATTCAATTAAAATATTGTTATAAATTTTGTCATATTAAAAATATTAAATCTCAAATTTTTGGAAAGAATAGCTTATATAAGAAGTGTTTTAATGGTGATAATCATTTTCAACTTTCAAAAGAAAATATATCTAAATAATTTGAGTATTAATGAAATCTAATAATTATAATTAAAAAAATCAGAGTAAATGATTTTAAATCCCTCACGACATCTAAATCCTCACCGCCAGTGCCATCATTTTCATCCATCCCTACCATTACTCATTACTAATAACAATAAATAAACAGACATCTATTCATTTCAAGAGAAATTATATTTAAGAATTTTAACCACACAAGACTTGTACCAGATCTCTGGGCTAATATTAAATGCGAGCTTTATCCAGGCCAATGAAAAATAATTGAAGGCTAAGTTGTATAGTATAATCAATGACGTGAAGCATTTTCTCAACAACGTTGGCTTCCTGCGCTGACGCTGAGCGCCTGGTTCTGAACTGACTCTGATCAAGCGACAAGCATTCCACCCAATGTACTGTAAATAAACATTCCCCTATTTAAGCTTGGTTCACATGCAAAGACGATCAGACACTAGGCTTTGGCGATTTATCAAGTGTCACTGGAACTTTTTTTTTTTTTTTTTTTTGGGGGGGGGTGGTTTCCAAAAATTCTGACACTGCCAAAAGCCACAAAAAGCAAGATGGTTGACCCGGCCAGATGTGTCTCTCTGATATCCAATGTAACACAAGGGCCTCTCGAAGCACAATTTGCGTCAGCAGCTTGTAGCTGCATACAAAAACCAATCTTTATGAATTATGGCTTACCCAGCTTCAAAGAATCGCAAAACCAAGTCCTTTCAAGTTTGATTCTGGAACCGTTGGTGAAAATTCCATCGGACATCCTTGTTAATGTAGAAAAAGGTTGACAAGAAATATCTCTGTAGTTCAAAGATGAAACCAAAATCTCAGACCTCTGAGTCTTCAACTTCTGTTCTTACCACAAAACTTGGAAATGCCAAGGTTATATCCCTGCAAAATGGGGAAAAGACATGCATGAGAAACAGGCTTGCTCGTCATGCATCAGTGCCTTCTCAAATTCAAGTTACTGAGAAGGGAAAAAGAAAAAAGTTCATGGACATCTCCTATAGGTATAGCCTTGTACCCACTTTAAGTAGGGAAGGGTCATGTTCTTCATCAGTGATGGATGTTTTGACACGAATGCCTTCCACTCCTCTTGATCAATCCTTCCATCACCTTCTGTATCAGCATCACTAAATGTCTGTGGAAGAAGCAGCAAATCCTTAGAGCTCAGTAAGTTCAAAGAAGATCCGAAGTTAACAAGGAGAGATTGTATGAACACCTTATCCACAATGGTTTCGATGATATCATCTGAAAGTACAAGATCTGACTCGTGAAGAAGCGCCAAGACCATCTCCTTCAGCTGCAGAGATGATTACTTCTAAGCTTGAGAAATGGAAGGTAGATAAGTTTCCAAATTATGCTTGCGAATGCATTGTGAATTACGATCATAGTTATTATGGGAAAAAAAGTGCGAAGTAATACTTCCACCATACCTCCTCTCGTTCAATATATCCTGTCTGTCTCAGATCATACAACCTAAAAGCAACTGCAAAATGGTTATCCACAACTTAACAGATGATACAGTATCTCCCATGTGACTGAAAAGCACTTGTGTAATTTATACGAAACAAAACGTTATTAATTTATATGGTTTTGGCACGGAGACCAACAGAAGAAACTAAAACAACATTAGAATGAAATGTGTACAAAAGAGAATCAATCTTACAAGTAATCTTGTCTTCCATAGGTGCATTTGGGTGAAAAACACCCAATGATCGAACAAATTCCCCAAATTCAATAACCCCGTTGCGCTTGACATCAAATAAGTCAAAAACCTGCAAAGAAGCACAACCAGATATGTGTTGAAGGGACTGTAAAGGTCTGGAACCTGGATCTTGATAATACACCTTTTCCAGCAATAATTATTTTGATAAGATCAAAGAATCCTTTAACCATAGAGCAAGGGCGACATTTACACACCCTGTCTGCAAACAGATTTCTCTTGTTTCTATTCCTGAAGAGTGCCAGCTGGAATTCTTCCTGAATGGAAAGATGATCTGGAAGTTAATTATCTGACAGAAATTGAGCATCCAACCTAGGGTTATCTAATTGAAAGTAGAATACGAACTTGCAGATACATCTAACTCACCTTGTGAATCAGACCATCTTCAATAATGGAGTTGCTCAACTTCTTATAGAGCTCATGTAGCGCCTCCACTTCACTCACAGAGACTTTGAAGAAGAAAAAGATGAAATTTACCTTTCATCATTAGTGTATATTCAAAACTAAAATCTCGATAGATAGGAGTCAAGAATTAGAACACTCGGCACTCGGGAGGCTTTAGAATAAAGTGAAAGCTTAAAGGAGACGTTGCAGATGAATATACTAATAACTACATTGATATTTATTCGTTCATCATTATTAAACTTGGTTGCCACAAGGACCATGATATATGGCCATTTTTAGTTTAAAGCAAAGGACTCCTAACTCTGGCTGCAAGGCTTTACCAGTTTGATGATGCATACTCACAAGGTGTCTCAGCAGCAAGAACAGTGGGTTCCTCATAACCTGGTGACTTAGCTTTCTTCGAACAAAAGCAGCCCATTAAACAGGACTATAAAATTCCGTTGAAGATTTTTGGGCAATCAACAGATTCAGCTTCATTCCAAAGAAGCCACTGGGAGAAATCCGGGTTTGAATATCTGCAAGGATGTTGGAACTTTCAAATCATAACCGATCTTAGTTATCCCAGCTAACACAGATTAAAACGCCAACAACTATGCTTTATATAGAATGAGAAAGCTACGAAGAAGTAGGCTCACAGTATTTCACTTTCGTCTGAGAGTTCAAAAAAGTCAAGGCAGAGTAAGGAAGCAAAAAAGCATTAATTTTAAAATTAGGGGCACGTCCTTAAGTTTTTCCACTTATCCTGAAGCTGCTTAGTGCAAGGAGATAGCAACTTGCCCATAGACCAATAGATTGAATTAAGAAAACTTTACAAGAACAAGAGAACATTGAAAATTTTAAAGCTAATACAAACAAAATAAACGAAGATGAGGTGAGCAGATCTGTCTTTTCCTACTTAAATATTAAGGATACCGGGATTTCTTGCAATGTCATACTGTCAACAAAGGAAACAAATACAAGAGGCCAATAGTACATAATTATATGTTCTAAATTAAGTTTATAAAGGTAAATGTGGAAACTGATTTGTGGGCATCGCATGAATCAGCTAGATTAATAACTTAGGCTCATGCTAATTTTTTTTAAATTCTTCAATTTCCAAGATGTATGAAGCACGGAACTATGCCTCGAATTTTTTAATTTATAAAAAGATTGGAGTTGGGATATTGTATATTTTTTCTACAGATGACGAAAGCTTGATTCTGACGCCTTTTCGTCTAAGAAAATAATAGAATTATGTATGCATATATGGCCTACCAACTACCAAGCGAGAAGAGAAAATAAACGTATCCGTGTATCACAAATCAACGGTCAACATTACCTTGTAATATAAGAATTAACTGTTCACCCTAAAATCACGAAAAATTATTGCACATGTGCAATGACTTTTTAATATACCTTGCAATATAAGAAATATCTATTTCCTAATAAAAATCACTCCTCCCTCTACGCTATTGCTACCCCACGAAATTATTTAATTCCTCACTTAAGCAATAGAATATCAACATTTGCCTTGCGTTATATTATTCTGGTTTTAAAACCCGCAATCAAGATAAAAACTAATCCAAATGTGAAATTCATAGAAAAACAACATCGTATTACAATGGTTTTAAATCAACTCTGAACTTCATCGTTTTCGTTTGCCGAAAATATAGCATTTAGTTGATCAGAAAAATCGGAATAAACTCTGAACTGGATTCCTTCAAAACTTCTGCAGTTACAAATCAGAAGCAGAGCCTCGGGAACAGATGAATCTACAAACTAACCAAGCCCTTCATTTTTTAAGGGGGCTCACCAAAACCTTCCTTAAAAACGTGTTCTGAAAATTCAATTCTGAATCTAATTTTTCGGTTCCGCGAAGAAAATTTTTCGAAAAATGGAACACTGGCCGCTCAAGCAATTTCAAATGAAGGAAGCCAATTAAATACGCGTATTGAGATAGAAATTCTCACAGCTGAGAAAGGACGAAATCAGATATTCATATTCGTAAAGCGAAAAGTAATCGATATATATTATACGACATTATTGGCCCCCGGATAGAAGGAGAATAATAGAGAGCGGGAGAGAGGGACTGACCTGTGATTCTGGGAGAGAAGGAAGTGGAGATGGAGATAAGATAGTCACACGCAAGCCGAGCCTGCTGTGCGTGCTTTATGGTAACAACGATGCAGCTTAAACGGGGATGATGGTAAAATTATAAAATTTGCTGTCAATTTCACTCCGCAGAGAGAAGAATCAGCATGAAGAGGATGTTTTTCAGAGGAATTCAAACAAATCGTAAGCTCTGATCTGGTATCAACGACTTAAGCTTTCCCGGTAACAGTGTCTTATATTTTTTTAATATTTCAGCGTTTGTATCAAGTTTGAGATTTGCCCGCAACTTCCTATATTTAAAGTGAACCAACAACTAGAAAGTGACGGAAAGTCTCTTTCTTTCCCAGTAAAAAACCCTCCTTTTTCCGCCCTTTGCATTTAAGAAAAAGACAGAAACATGAGAAAATTGGTGACCCTGAGATGTGAACGTTCCTCCATCTGTAAGGGCATCGACTGTCGAGCTGGCCCCGCCTGTATGTAAAGGAAACGTCATTACAGATACTATATTTAAAATATATATATATATATATCTATATGTTCCCCCTTCTAAAAAAAACATTTTTTAAAAATTCAAAGGTTAAAAATATAAAATATTTTTAATTTTTAAAAATATAATTATTATTTTTTAAAATAGTCATATTAAATAAATTATTTTATATTTATTTTAAAATAAAATATTTTATTATATAAAAATAAAAATAAAAATAAAAAATAAGATTAATTTAAATATAAATAATTATTATATTGAGATGTAAAATTTAATTAAAAGTATTTTATATTTTTTTAATGAAAGAAGTAATATTATATCCCCAGTCTCCTTTCATTCTTCTGACTTCCGGTTAATCGTACGTATTTATAATTTATAATTATAATTTTATACTATTGCTCACAAGCCAATTTCTTTTACGTGTATTAATCTGTTAATTGTTAAATTGTACGCTGGTCTCAAAATGAGTAAATGTGTAAATTTGGTTACTAATTTTTTTTTTAGAAGTATTCGATAACCTATACAATATTAAATGATATGAAATAAGTCTTTAACTTTAACATAATATTTAATAATTTATTATTAACTTTACTCGATGAACATTATGTGGGAATCACAAATAACATGTGACAATGTAAATTTATCATGAGCTATTTTTTGAGAAACATTGTATAGTTTATATTGTAAAAAATAGACTATCCAATACTTTTTTCATCAATTTTGATTAAACATATTTATTTTTAAACTTATGAGACTCACAATGAGTCAATCTTTCTAATCTTTTTGCTTTTATTATCAGTCTCGGCTTGAAAAGAGGTTCAAAAAATTTTTATTTAAAAACATTCACGAAAACGGTGCTAGCAAAGCAGAGGAAATAATTTATAACTAAATTAAACTAGAATTAAGCTCCGCTCACGACTAGTAAAATAAAGTTTTTATTTTATTAGCATCATCTTTGTGATGCTTTCAAACAATGACTCTTTGAACCTCTTATTCTAGAATTGAGACTGAGAATGAAAGTAAGAAAATTGGAGAAATTAACACGTTGTGGGTCTCATAAGTCTGAAAATAAACACTGTTTGATTAAAATTGATGGAAAGGTATTAAATGATTCATTTTTTATAATATAGGCTACTCAGTATTATTAAAAAATAGTTCATAATTGAATCTATACCTTTACACATGTTAAGGTGACTTGCAAGTGTCATTTATGGGCCCCGCATAACGTTGTCAGGTGAAGTTAACTATAAGATGTTAAATGCTCAGTTTTTTAAAAGTAAAGATTTTTTTTTTTGCCACCTGATAATATAGTTTACTTAATGCTCATAAAAAAATAGTTGATAGACAAATTTGTTACTTTATCCAAAAAAATTGTTAATTGTACTTCCGACAACCTAAAATGTGATTAGGTATGCTAATAAAATTTAATGATAATATTTTATAAATTTATTTTTTAAAAAAATAAAAATCTAAAATATACATTTAGTCTTTTAATTGTATACAACATTTTATTTTAGTTCCTTAATTTTATATGATTTATTTCTAGTCCTTTAACTGTAATATAGTTAGTTTTATCTCAATAAATTTTTACATTAAATTTTTTAATATTGATAAAATAATATCAAATGTTAACATATTAAGTTAAATTTTTTTAAAATAACAATGACTAACATAAAAAATAATCATTTAAAATTAATAATGTTAGGATTAAAAGACTGAAAAGATATTTTACAAAATTAAAGAATCAAAGTTAACTCTTATATAAAGTTATGGGACTAAAAGTATACTTTAATCAAAATAAAAATATAAACTTTTAAAAATACTCTTTATTTAGAGTCTCAAAGAAATACTTAGGTAAATTAGACGCACCACGTTATTTGTGATTTATTCAATTAAAATGCTCCAAATAATTTAAATAAAATATTGTGTAATATTTTTTAAATTGATTTTATTTTTATAATAAAATAGACACTTGATTTCTTACATTTTGTCTATCAACTATAATTAATATCAAAATTAATTTATACTTAATGCTATATAAATGTTATATTTTTATTAGACAGACTACAAATGACGCGCTGTATTTAATCTACTCAAGTATTTTTCATATTTAATATTTTTATTTAATATAATTTTAAATTTGCAATCTTCTTTCTACTTGAATGATAATATTTTAAAAATCTTGTCACTGAAGTCTTATTTTTATCAAATTATTTTATGCTTTGAAATAATTAAATATTTTTAAAATTGTTTTATAATTCAGGATGATGGAGGATTATTATAATTCTCTCTCTCTTTACAAAATTTCCTTTTAAAACAATTTTTGATTATATTACTTTTTATTTTAAAATTTTAGACCAATACTATTTGTTTTTTTTGTTTTTTTTTTGCCGACAATGTTTTTGGCAATTATACACTTAGATTCGCCAAATTTCGAAGGCTACCAACTACCAAGACAAATTAACATATTAATAAAGCTATAAAAAAAATTTCTGACATGCTCTTTTTTTGGCATACATGTATAAAAAGTTTTTTTGGCCAAATACATGCATGGAAACTTTGAAAACGTACTTTTTAAAAAGGAAATCTCAACGACGGCCCTTGAAATTAAATTAATAGCATGCATGGCCTAAATCATTCTAAAAAGCTTTTACAGGCTTGAGGGCTCAAATTAAAATTAATTTTATTAGTCCAATTATCATATTGATACCTTGTCAACATTAAAAAAATAAGTTATAAAAACTAGAATAAAGTAAGTTTTAAAAGTTTGACAATTTTTTTTTTGTATGAACAAATGATGTTCGAGTATGTATAAATGACATATGTACACAACAAGATGCTCATGGTTAACAAAAGCCTATAAAAAATGTTTGGAAAATGAATTTATAATGTATACTTTTTTATTTAATATAATATTAATAACTTGTTAACATTGAAAGAATAAATTATAAAAAACAAAATAAATTAGATTTCAAAAAATCAACAACTCTTTTTATGTACAAACAAATGATGTTGGAATATATACATATAAGTAAATGTTCATATATATATATATATATATATATATAATAAGATATTTAAAATATGCAACAATAGGTAAAAATAATTAGAAATGAAAGTTATCACACACAAAAAATATTTTGCGAGCGCAAACAAAATTTTTTGCATTATATACATTAAAGTGTTTATTGACTTAATAATTTCCTTTATTTTAAAAAATCAAGGGATCAAGGGTTTAAATTTACTTTTGACCCCTTAACACATTCAACTAGTTATTAACCATTGCGCCTGAGCTCTAGCAACAACAGTTTGCCAACGGCCTTGTGACATGGCAGGTTTTTTTTTTAAAAATAAAAGGTAAGAGCATTTTGATAATTTGACTAACAAAATTGATTACAATTCGGGCCTGCAAAAGTATTTTAGAATAATTTGAATCTTATATGTTATTAATTTAATTTTGAGAGCCCTAATTGAGATCCTCTTTTTTAAAAAAATTAAAACCAACAGTTGAGCAGAGTATATATAATATTTTGAAAAAAAAAAAAAAAAACTCTAACAAGTACTATAACAAATATAAAATTTGTATCAAATCATGCTGGGTCCCATGTCTCGTGCTAATTTCAGCCTCCTACACATTTTAAGCATCTTCTTGTCACTCCTTCACTAACAACCCTTTTTTTTTTTTTTGGGTACAACATCAACAACCTACTTTAGGCACGAAAGAGTGACGATTGATCCTGGCGTGATGAGCACTCGGTTTGACAGATTTGTGTTCAAGAAAGTCACGAGGTGGGCCTTAGCCAATAGGATGACCAAAAGCCTAAACAAGCAGAAAGCTGGATGGCCATAAAAATGAACTTTGTAGTGATCTGATAGGAGTATGGCTCCTGCAAAAGCAAATTTCGTCACGACTAAATGCTGACACGATTGCCAATATAAAATTCACCGAGGTGATAAGATCATCGAATGCAATACACAGCGCAAACACGAGTCTAGTATTGTTAACGTCGGATTGGATAAATACGGTGTTCTTGGTTTGCACATTGCTTGAAACATGCGATAAGTTATGGCGATCAACGGTCAACTTATCCTCTCTGTTCCGTTCCTTGGTATTCCTTGCTTAGGTAAGTTACGCGTGTGAGCTGAAGCCAAGCCGAGAATTCGGGTGATGCAGAGGACAGAAGTGACACCGAAGGTGCTCAGGTATTGACTTGAGTGTGCAACCCAGATGCGTCGATGGAGAAGTGAAATTTATATCTCTCTTTGTTGAATTGGAAGATCATCGATCTATATTCACATCATATTTTCCTGTGCGCAATTCGAGGAGTTGGAAAAGATTATAACGTGCCCGATTCACAGTACCAAAATATGATTGCAGGAAACATGAAAAGTCAATGGCACAAGTATTTGTTTTTTATGGCCAAAATTGTGATACTTACTTTTCTTCAAACAAGCATCATACAAAGAAGCAACCAATCAAATAATAAAAGTCTTCAATACAAGAAAATACAAGAGACGATTTCTGATTCCCAGTATCAAATCTGACAATTTGATAATTCCCACCAAGAACTTGTAGAGGAAGAATGTGTTTTATCACACGACATGAAAAAGCTGAGGAATTCAAGGCAGCCCCAGTGCCGTCATCTATTGCAAGATACAGAAGAGTCTCAAACTCAGCGTCATCAGCTACAAAGATTTGGTATGCACACCCCAGCATCCGGATTTTGTTGTTCTTTCCATATTCTACCAGTAACTCTAAGCTTAAGCTCCTTCCTG